CCGCTTTAGTTTTGTTAGTTTGTTGTCTGCTTGTTTGTAGGGACCGAGTGCTACAGCCGTAGTCGACGAGGCCCAGTCAAGCCAAAAAAAAAACTGGTGCTAAACAGCAAACACCGGCAAAGCCTGTGCGCTGCAGCTAGTTTCGCCTTCTTTAATGAGGTATCTGGTTTTACCGATGCTTTTGTTTGTTGGTTTGTTTGTCCCCAATGCTAAGACAGGTTCAAGTCACTTGTCCGTGACGGTAGCCTCATCCAAGCAAACGCCACCGTGGCTCTAGACACTTGGCGACCCACAGCGGAGGGAACTCGAACATCAGAGTACTCCTTCACTGCGGAGTGCTGCTTCGGTACAGTGGGTGTTCTATCTAGCCAGAGTCGACGAGCTTGATGGCTTCCCTGATTTGTTGAGATCAGGGTCAAGGCGGAGGCACCGGCTTCTCTCTTGTAGCTCCAAATTGCGACTGCCGCATGCTGGAAGGCTTCCAGCAGTGGCACCAACAGCAGTGCAGCAGCGGCCGTAGCAGCGCAGCGGCCAGCAATCAGCAAAGCGGTGCCCACGACGCCGCTTATCCTGCAATCAAGATGCCTGCTGCAGGTAAAATCGTTCAGCGGGGACTCCTCTTGAAAGCTCAATGGGGGCACCCTCCAAGCCTCTCTGCGCCTTTGAAGGCACGTGTTGACGGTCAATTCTCTGCATCTCGGTTTCTTGGCTGAGACATCAAGGTCAGAAAACGAGAGCTGGACGGGCGGGGGCAATGAAGGGACAACATCCAATGCCGGGTTTTCAAGACAGAGCCTGGAAAAAACCGCTGCGGCTTTTCCCTTGAAGCTCTTCTGGGTTACCTAGGTTTGAAACTAGGTTTTAACCTCGGTTTTTAACCTGGGTTTTAATGTGGATTAAACTTGGATGCTTTAAACTTGGGTTCCAAACCAGGGATAGAGAGTTCAAACCTGGGTTTGCACCCCCAAACTCGGAGGGGGCCTTCTTAGCTTCGTTGGGCTGTGGAACGTAGTTTGAGTGCTTGACAGTTTTCAGCTGTGAGTCGTCCAAGGTCCGCTAAGGCTACATTCGCCGAACGTGCATCCATTGCAGATCAGCAGGTGTGCAGACCCAGGCGTTTCCACTTCGGCAGTCAAGAAAACTTCGAAGGAACACAAACTGCGATACACCAAAAACACAAGCATTTGAACATGATCGGGCTCTTGATTGCATTTAGAAGGTCTCTTGGGGTGATCGGAAAGTGCGCAGGTCTGCCGCGTTAAACGCCACAATAAAGATGTGGCATTTGGCTTGGTTGAGACTGCTGTGTTAAACGCCGCGCCCGTCTTGGCCCACCATGCGCCCACCTTATCTAACTTGATTGCGGATTATTCTTTTGCAAATGAACTGCGGCTTTCCCTTCCAGGTCTAGAAAGAATTGGATTTCCCAGCTTGTTTTTTCAAGTTACGACACTTTTTGGCTGAGAAAGTCGCTGGCTTCGTTGATTGCAACTTTTGAATTTCTGCCATTGTCCTTTTCCGAGTGCGTGTTGTGCAAGGCTTGTGAATGCCACCAAGCTTTGTGATTGCACGTAAAACAAGTTTGGCGTTTGTTCGCAGTCGGGCAGTGCAGCCGCAGCTGATGTCGGGCTGGAGGGAGGAAGTCAGGATCTCATGTCATTTGGTTCAAAGCTTTAAGTTTGCTGGAATGGGGGTCGCCCAATCCTAGCCTTGAGGGATACGCCCGGACAGTAGCGGTAAACTGACTCTGACCCAATCGTTACCCAACCGTGTCGGAGTTAAAGTGCCCTAGAAGAGGACTCTAGAGGGATTGTTGGGGTTCCAAGTTACGGTCTCGACCTGAACCCAATTGGGGGTTGCTGGGGTCACTTGGAGGCTTTGGGAAGACTCCAACTCTGGCCGCGGAAAGGTTTCGGCTTCGGCTGTGGGTTAGGGTTGTTTTTTGTTACCTATGTTCTCTGTTTTTACCACCCGAAAGCGACCACAGGTGCTTTCTCCTTCTTGTTTGTCGGAAAAGGTTCGTTGTTTTTCAATTTTTTGTGTCACCGCTTTTGCGGTTTCTCGGTGTTGTTTGTCGGAGAGCCTTGAGGGCGGGGGGCTTAAACGGGAGCTCAAGCGAGAGCTTGAGCCGGGGCTGGAGGGAGGATGGGGTTCGGGTTAACTCCAACCGTAGCCGGTTGGGGTTACGTTTAATGCTGCTTGAACGGGAAATCACCCGCCATCGGCGCTTCACCGGTAGCGATGGTTTCCGTGCAGCTGAATCATTTTCTTTAGCATCGAAGTGGATCGACAGTGGTTTTTGCGCTACCATGTATCTGCAATGCATCCTAAACTTGACTGTACCATGGACCCGTTTGATAGCAGTCGAGCTAGCCTTTGCGGCTTTACAGGTGGAAGCAAGTTGTTACAAAAAATTCCGTGCCCCGAGCTGTCGTGGTTGATATGCATGCCCACATTAGTCTTTCGATGCAACGATGAATCCGACTGCGAAAGCCTCCCTTGAGTTAGGCATCTTCCTTTCCTTCCCCACAATCATAGTTGCCTTTCAGTAAGTGCAGACGATGACTTCGATTTCACTACGAAGTGGAGCACCCTTTGCTCGTGCGATGGCTGTGTGTCATGGATGAGCAATGTGTCACGGCGGAGGTCCAGCCTTCTTGTTTGATATATGGGCCAGTCAGTCGGCAACCACCCGGAAGATCCTGATAGCCCAGACTTCACCGATTTCGGTCATCTGAAGGCAGTGCGGTTTCGGCAACGGCATGGCGACGGAAGATGTTGTCTGCAATTAAGTGGTATGAGTTGCCAGGCCACTGATGGCCATCCAAGCCTCCCTAAACGTGCTGGCGATGTGCAGGAGCGCAGTTGTGCAGGTTTCTTCATGTGAATACTCGTCATGCAATCCAGTCCGTGGCTGGCAGTCAGCTTGCAGTGGACAATATTTGTGTGTGTGTGTGTGTGTGTGTGCGTGCGTGATGTGTGTGTGTGTGTGTGTGTGCGTGTGTGTGTGTGTGTGTGTGTGTATGTGTGTGTGTGTGTGTTGTGCTGCGTGTGGTGTGCGTGAGTTTTCGCATGTGCGCATGTGTGTGATTCCGTTTGTGTTTTTGTGTCTGTGAGCGTGCATGAGTGTGAATGTGCGAGTGTGTATTACTCAGTTTAATAGGTTAGTACTTGTTGTAGATGATGTGACGGCCGGCGCACAGGTTCGATTTCGGGCATACGGAAAAGCCTTGAGCATTGAGTGAGCACTGCTTGTCATCTCTGTTCATCTGATGATAGTGTTCACCAGTTTGAGCGTAATCGACAAGGACAACTCGACATCCCCAGGGCGCAAGTTCGGGCACTGTGAGGTTTGCTGGCCCAGCCATGGCATCCACAAAAGGTCCAATGAAAGAAGCTGCGAAGACTTCGGTACGCAAAGTTGCAGTGCTGGGTGGAGGTGCTTTTGGTACAGCTATGGCAAACCATGTTGCCAGCAAGGGCATCCTTGTCAGCTTGTGGGCCAGGGAAGATGAGGTTGTTCAAAGCATCAACAGCAAGCATGAGAACAGCACTTTTTTGGCTGGCATTCCGCTGAGTGAGAGGATCGTCGCAACGTCAAGTGTCGCAGACGCTGTTTCGGAAGCCGAGCTTGTCTTCCTTATCATCCCCACGCCTTTCATTGCAAAGTGGCTCGAACAGAACCAAACAGTGCTTCCGTGGCAGGTTCCTCTCGTCTGCTTCAGCAAAGGGATCGAACAACAAAGCCTTCGCACTCCTTACGAGATCTTGGTTGATGAGCTTCCGGGAAAGTATCATGCCAAGCTGGCAGTGGTCAGTGGTCCATCCTTTGCCAAAGAAATTGGCGTTGGTTTGCCAACGAGTGTCACTTGTGCAGCACAGGACATTGAAGTTGCGAAGCAAATCCAGCTGGCATTGGCGACACGAAACTTTCGTGTGTACACTGCGGCAGATGTTATCGGTGCCGAGTTGTGTGGAGCTCTTAAGAACGTTTTGGCCATAGCTTGCGGCGCCAGCGATGGGTTCGGCTTCGGAGCCAACGCGAGAGCTGCTTTGATCACCAGAGGGTTGGCAGAAATGACGCGCCTTGTGGTTAAGAAAGGTGGAAAGGCTTCAACCATCACGGGGCTAGCGGGAGTTGGAGACCTCGTCCTGACCTGCAGTAGCAGCCTCTCGCGGAACTACTCAGTCGGTCAGGCTATGGCCGTAAGGAGTCTTCCAGAGCACAAGCGTCAGGTGCCTGGAACTGGAAACTTCAACCAAGACCTGGCAGTGGCAGAGGGAGTGAAGACCAGTCTCGCAGTCCACCTTCTAGCTGAAAGACTTGGGGTTGAGATGCCCATTTGCGAGTCTGTGTACGAAGTCATCCACAAAGGAGTTGACATCAAGACAGCACTTCGCAAGTTGCAAGATCGCCCCTTGAGAGCCGAGCACGATGAGTATCAGGGCACCTGGGTTTGGAGCGCTCTCTGAGATGCCAGGGTCGGAGCGCTGCCGCGCTGCTGCGCTGCTCTGCCTCATTTCCACTTTTGTCTCCGGGTTTTACACCTGCCGTGCCACACTAGCGTGTGGAAGTTTCGAGCACCGAGAGTCGGACACCATGCTCATGTTTCAAGTTAAGAAAAGTCTCCTGTTTGCTCCGTGCCAGAGCTCGCCACCTCGGACGATTTGTTGCGCGCTGCCTCTCCTCGACAAAACCCGATACTGCTTCTGAACTGGAGGAGTTCGAAGCAGTGGAGTGGCAGTGGGAAGAGGAGTCAAGCTGTCTGCGTGTGTTCTCCGTGAAGATCGGAAAGAAACTCGAAAGATTTGGTCCAGGAAGTCAGTACGCCGTACGGGCGATGTCCCGTGCTTCTTTTTCAAAAGGTGGGGCATGATTCATGTCAGAGCATGTTGTCTGACGGGCTACCATGCGTAGCTCGAGTTGACTGACGAACGAACTGCTTGCTGCTTTGTTCGGTTGTTCCGCCACTTCGCGACAGGCAGCTCGTGACACAGTGATGGGAAAGCAGGCGATGAGGGCGTTCGACTGGTGACTAGTTCTCGTCACCTCTCTCTGTGGCCAGGCCGTGCGCTTGCTGCTCCCTGAACAAGGAGCTTTACGAGCTGCCACGCCCGGTACGCAGGCCAGCTTGGCTCGGGGAGCTGCTTTTTTTCAGACTGCTTCCTTCTTGTGTGAAGGCCACTCTCTCTTGTGCTGTGGATACCCTCTTCCGCATTGAGGACTGGCAAGAAGTTCGGCTGTTTCCTGTAGTCTCTTGTTCCAGCGCAGGAAGTTCGGAAGACGCGTGCAGACGGAGAAGTTGAAGGAGCATAGAGCCAGTGGTCGTCGTGAGATGGATGAACAAGTTGTGAGTCCTGGAGTCCTGGGTCTTGGGGCAGCATTCAGGACAGCTGTGTGTGGCCTGGGCCCCAGACTTCCAGGACCCTTTGACCTCTTTTGAAGCTGCTTTGGAGGTGCTGACTGCAGACCAAGGCCGGTCATTTGGACAGGATTTGATTTGAAAAGGTCTTGGCTTCTGTCCTACAAGAGAGGCTGGCCTGGCCTCGACGAGGATGAGGCGGAGGGCACCCTTACCGTCTCACCGCCTGAGTTTTGGGTGTGCCGACTGCAGTCAGAGCCAGAGCCTGCCGCGCCGTGCCGCCTCCGCAGCTGTTTCTGGCGGGCCCTTCCCCACGCGGAGATGAGAGCCACAGCCCGAAGGCTGCTGAACCTTGGATTTATATATTGTATTATAGTGTTTTCGAATCGAAAGACGCTGCTCTTTCAGGAAATGCGCACCTCTCGCAGCCCCTCTTGCCGTTCCATTAGCTCGTGGGCTCCCTATCCATGACGCAGCTGCATCAGTCCACCACCGGGAGAAATCGGCGCAGCTCAGAAGCTTTCCGGAGGCTCGCTGCAGCACAACTCATGAGCCCTGGCTCCAGCACGAGACATCAAAGTTCAACCAACCCTAGCAAACGGTCCCCGCACTCCTGTGAAACTTCAACCCAGGAGCGCGAGTTCGCTTATATCCACGAGCACAACTTCGATGAAAGAATGTGGTCGATAGCTGGCAAGGTGGATTTCTTAGGGCTTATGGAGGCAGGAGCATGAGCGCCTGACGACAACACAGGCACTTCAGTAGCGCCTCAAAGCGCTTCGGTGAAGCAGACTGCTTGCAGGAAGGATGCTACCTCTTCAAGGGCGTGGCCAGGGATGTCATCCTCAGGCACGACAAGCCTGACTTTTCAGGAGAAAGACCAGTCAAAAGGTGATCCAATGCAATCGCGAATTAGGTGACATTCTTCTCGGCATCTTGGCCAGTGCCCCCTCCCCCTCCTCCCTCTCTCCTGTTGTCTACGCTTACGCAGCCCCAGTCATGTCTTACACAGTTGGCCTGATAAAGACAACGTCTTTAAGGCGTTCGGCTCAAAACCGCAAGCTCTACACAGTTGCTTAGAGGGCTCTTAGGGGTAACCGAGTGTATAGGATTTTAGGGTTTAGGGTTCGGGCTTTCGGATTGTACTCTTGCCGGTCGCATAGCAGCATTTTTGCGAACTGGGGCTTCTTGTTAAGGAAGAGTGTACCGCCAGTTGAGAGTGCAGTTGGTCAAGATGTCATGTCCTGACTCCTCAAGAATCTGAGAATAGCAGAAAGCCATAAAAGTCCGTACAACTTCCTTTTGGTGCTGGCCTATGGCACGCTGAAAAAGAAGGGTTTTTGTTTTCAACCCGTTAGCTGCACTTCCACATCCCCTCTGCCCATCCAAACAGAGCCCAGCACTTGCCCGCCACCATGTAGTGGAAGTGAAGCTTGTGCCCGGGAATAAAAGCCTACTGGTCACTCGACAAGCATTGCCGATGAAGCTAGCCGACGGCCCGAAACTTCTTGGATGCATAGCTTCATTTCATGTTAAGAGCTGCAGTGGAGAGCTGCTTGCATCAAGTAGTGCCGCCTGGAGACATTTGGCCTGGAGGCTCTCCTTTGGACAAAAGGTCTTCGCTCGCAAGGGCACCGTGTTGATAGAGGAGGGTTCGGAGAACAGCGCCCTGTTCGTGGTCGGTCTCCTGCCAGCAAAGCTGGAGCTGTGACAGCCTGATATGCGGCGCCTTGGGTTAAGCGCAGCCGAGGTCACGGCGCGCTCTCAATCTCTGTACATGGGGAAGAGATAGCGACTGTTGGACCGGGGCAGGTGATTGGCTTGTCTTCTTGCAGCAACAAGAGCGAGGTTGCATTCGTATTTTTTCAGGTTGCTTGTTCTGCCTTTGGATTTCAGGTACACAATGCTCAAGGGCACTGTTGCCAGTGCGAGCGTCGTCGTTTCTTCAGACGTGGCATACATCCTTGAGCTTCGCCATAGTCTGAACCCCAGAGGGTTTTCTGTATGATGCTTTCAGGCAACGTGGGCAAAGCGGCCAGGAGGATTCAGGCCGTGAGTGTCCCTGAGGTCACTTTATGGCTTGCCTGGATGACAATCCAGATGTGAAGAACCGCATGCAAATTCTGCTGGAGCAGCGCGAAGCACAGAGCCTCGTCGAAAGCCACGAACTGCTCTCGATTTTGCTGTAGCGCAGCCAGACGAGGAACAAGGCGGCGGAGATGATCAGCAAAACCACCCTGAGAGAAGTTTGAGCCATCTTTGTGCACCCAGAAGGGCTAGTGCGAGCCAGGCCAGCCGAGTGACCATGTCCTGACCCCTACAGTAATCAATGCAATGCGCGATGCACCGATTGTTGTCTGGAAAATACACTGCGGGGCTCAGTCAACTTGACTTTCCAGGCGAGTGGCTTCTTTTTTTAACCTGCAGGGAACAATGGACCGTGTGCAGGCCTCAATGAGGCGCATTTGAAAGTCAATTTGGCAGTCGCTGCATCCTTCCTGCGAAGTGAGAGGGGGCTGCTAAAATAGCTTAGAGCCGGTCGACACGGCGCCGCGAATGTGGAGAAAAAGCTGTCGTCCAGTGCCTGTCCAGTCAGTACCGTTTGGGGACTTTCTCGGCAACCAAAGGTGGCTCCAACAGGCTCAAGCATTCAGAAAACTTTTTCTTACTTCTCTTGCGAAAAGTGCCGGGAGTGCCACGACCACATGGAGCTTCCTGTCCAAATGGGTGGAATCTGTTCTCCGCAGTCAGACGGAACCTTGGCTCTACAGGATCGTCGTGCTTCGTTGAAAGTTTCAAAACGACACACGGTTCGAGCCAAGCGGTGGCAGAGCTCGTCGTCATAGCAGTCGCCTGTTTTCTGCTTAGGCTGGGCAGCCTTGCATCTCCCGGCCATCGAGGAGCTTCTGAGATGCATGCCAGACGAGGCGGAGCCGCAGTCTGCAAGTGATGACTTGTTACGATATTGGCACCGTTCCTCCGTCCGAGGGACCATGTGATACTGGTGACGTTTTCGGCACTTTCAAGCCCGGCGTTGACACAGGTGGGCTCATGTCGTTGATCAAAACTTCATGACACCCTTTTTGCAGCTAGTCGTGCGATACCTTGTGGAATTAGGCAAAGTTCCGCCATGTTGCAGGAGTCCAGCACTCCACAATGTTCCGAGCTGCGCTGATCCCTGCATGCATACAAAAGCGTGACACATGAGCCTAGCTCAGGGGCGAAAGATCCGCCGACAGACGTGATGTCGCCCAGAAGTTTGCTTCTTTGGTTTTTCGGCTTCTCATCTCATCTCAGGAACACTCTCCCGCTGCCGTCATCGTCAGGCAGCGGCACATCGCAAGTAGGTGGGTAGACAGAGGCTATAGCGTTCTTTGGATTTGAGGTGGCTTCGAGTTGCCCACACCGCCGTGGCCAAGCTTCAAGGATTGCTCCGCTTGTTGTCTCTAATTTCCGAGTTGTTTTCAAAACTGACGTCACGCACTCCGCTGGGTTCTGGCACCGACGTGACAAATCAATACTGCGCAGTTTCGAAGCCAGACACCGTGTGCCGTATTCGCCATGCGTTCGGCTGGGTTCCAGAAGCCAGTCGGCCCAGTCGTCAGGACTCTTATTGACAAATCAGGCTTCCCGATTCAACCTGTAAAGATCCACTTACCGTGAGCGGGCATTAATCACCTAAAGGCTTCCAAGCCGCTACTCAGTGCGCGAGGTGTCCAGTGAACAACACTGCTTCGTTTTACACCCCGCGTCGAATCGGGCACGCGAGAGTTGGTGTTCATGGGCGGCTACATGAAAATAATAGCATGTCGCAGTTTAACCGACTGGACGTAAGAAGGATGGTGGCTTTCTCAGTCTCTGAAATCGCTGCAACGGGACATGGCTTATCGGAACAACTGCGCGACGCCGTTTTGCAAAAGGAATCGGCAAACCCCCTGCCATCAAAGCTTGGGCCTTCGAAAGGAAATCCTTTCGGGGAGTGCCTACACAACCTCGAGCAGGAAGCATGCCAAGCAGAAATTGTTAATCGCGCGGTGTAAGTGGTCCCCACCCTCATGGTGACACGTTCGAAACGGGCGTTCTGCTCCGCTGTTCACACCATTTGCAGGCAGTTCTTCCGAAGCGGCCTTGGAATGCCAACCCGGACATTCGAGCCTGAGAAGTCACGAAAGTCACGGAAGGGATGCGAAGGATCACACCGGCAATCCTGAAAGACCTCAACCTTGTCAGCTCTGGTTTGCACACAGGGCTGGCCTGAAGTAGTACACGAGCAGCACTGCATGCCAACTTCCCAGGATTTCAAAAACACATCTAGCTCCACTGGTTGCTCGCAAGATGCACAAGCAATGCAATCTCGACAAGTTTCAGACTTGCTTAGCGTTGTGAAAATCCTCTGCCTTCTCTGCTCTTGCCGGCTGGCCAAGTAACGAGCACGCTGCTTGTTGGAAATGGGATGCATGTTAAGCAGGGGCGAGTTCGGACGAAAAGAAACCTGCGCAGGCTTTTCTGCAGTTGAAGGCCTTTATGAAACAATTTCCGATGGTACGTGATATCTACAGGGGCAAAAGCTAAATGAGTCAGCTCACGGAGCTTGAGATTTGTCATCATGTTTCTGCTGCGTGTATTTCTTCGGGGTCTGGAGATCTCCGACGCCTACCCGTGTGAACCCCACTTTGCTGTGTCTGCTACATTTCTGCTTGAGTCAAGGCCACAGGTGAAATCCAAACTGCATCTTTGACGACACGGCAAAGTCTGCCACTTCAGCGGTGTGTTTGCACAGGAGAAATCATTGATTTTGGGCTGGCTGCTTCGGATCGCTCGTTGCACTGCCTCTCCTTGTCCATTCTTGTCTTGAGTTTCCTTCGCTGCATCACTCGCACCGGTAGCATATCCCAGCATATGTCTGACATCTGCTTCATGCGTACTTTTGCTATTCGCGCACTGGCCTATATACCAAATCAAGACCGCCCCGTGCTAAATCAAGACCGCCCCGGGCAGGCGCACAGGTACGCACATAGGATTTTGCTAGCTTTCTGATTAGATTCTGTGGCGACAATGTGCCGACTCGGGTGGAGGACCATAGAACGCTGGATGCCAGGCCGCCATCCCCAAGCGGAGACCTCAGAATGAATCATTGACAAGGCAGCCAGAAGGCTTTGCTCGCCTTGCAACCGAGTCCGATCTGAGCAGATCGCAGCAGATGCTTCGTGGGAGGCGGCAGTTCTTCAGTGCTTTCGGCCTTGCTTGGCAATGGTCTGCTCTTATGCTGAGCAGGTGCAGCAGCTTGATATGCACCAGGATGCTCCGCTCCTTGGTTGATTTCTGCGACAGCTACTGAATTGTTCGCCCATGTTCGCACTTGCAGCTCAGCCAAGCCAAGGGCGCTCCTGCCGGCCTACCTGATGCAGGCCTTACACCGCGGTACCCCGAGCCGGAAGAGATTCAGTGTGACGATTCGTGACGCTGTCGACTGCATCCTGCACAGGATGTGTCGGCACATTTTGGAGGCCTGTGAAGCTGCTCATGAATCCTGTGAGAGCTCTTAGACACGAAGCCGCAGGATCCGAGGAGATAAATAATCGTCCAGTCGGACACAAGAAAGTTCCCAAGAAGATCAACATTCAGGCGCTGACCTGTGCCTGAAGTTCTTGACCGCAGGCCTTTCGTTTCCATTTTGCCTCCGAAGGAAGAGTTTGCTCACTCCGACTGTGAGATCACCACGGCGATGATTCGGTCCCTGCACACACACATGCAGAGATTTGAATCAGAGAGGGAGCATGCCACGGGATGCCACCAGCACGCTGAGATCTTGCCAGGAATGTTCCCAACCAGCTGAATCGGAAACAGTTCCTGGAACGGCTTGACCAGCTGGGCTTTCGTGGTTTGCTTCTCGGCCTTAACGCTGGGCTGGCGGACATGTGCGGCCTGCTAGTAGCAGATGTAGGATTGTAAGCGAAAGCTTTCTTTCAGGATGCCTGCCTAGGTATGACTTCGTGTACGTGCCGATGCTTGTTCGCACACCTCAGCGTGTCTGTCTGTCTCGCATCGGATAATTAGTTGCAGCACTTTCAGCTGTCTTGGCCAAGTGCAGGATGGACCGATCGACGCGCATGAATGTGGGATATGCCTTCGTGAACTTTATCAAGCCTGAGATTTTCAGGACCTATGTTTTGCCTGGAGTTACACCTGTCCTTACATGTAGGGATGTTGTTGCCTGCAGGATGTGCCAAGCGGTGCTGCAGGGCAAGAGCTTTCTTGAGAAGGAGGATCGAAACAAGCGCAAGAGTGGGAAGCCGATCGTTGCAGCTTGGAATGCAGGTGCTTTGATCAGAGCTTCCCAGCCAAAAACACCTTGTCTTGCAAGTGGGTCGTCCCTCCTGATATCCTGATAACACATCTTAAGTACAGACTTGGTACGTTGCCAAACATGAGAGGATTGATTCATGGCTTTCGCGTCTGAACATGTAGCTCGTAGACGTGTGGGCTCGGACGTCTGCAATGTTTTTGGCATGGCCAGTGTTACAGCGGTCGGTTGCACGAGGTCTCGCCTGCCCATGTTCAGGGCCTGCAGAACAACGAGAAGCACTTCAAGGAGCTCTTGTTTGCATAGGCTCTCGGAGAGTACCTGCAGAAAATGTGGCAGTTCATGCTCTGATGCAGGATGCAGCGGTGTCGCACACCCTCCACAGACCCGTCAAGTTCGCTTGCAACGGCCTCTCGGGACCGTGAAGCATGCTCTCCAGAACTTGACTTTTGATTAAGTTTTGCACTGAAACTCCCACCATCCGTTTGAAAAAGTCTGGCTGTTGGTTTACTGTCAGTATCATCAGTCACATAACCATAAAATTTGTGTGATTTCCAGAACTTTCTGCTCGACACCAGACTACTGGAGGCGAAGACAGAAGTCATTAGCCGCGGTAAGGGCAGAGAAGGATGTCCTACTGCTGCCGCCTACCCTTGTTCGAAGCATCATTTCATCGGCGAACGCCCTTGCTCCGCGAATCCCTACTTGTTTGGAAGCAGATACTTGTAGCAATCTGAAATTCTTGCGTGAATGTCAGATGGTTTGGAGCCATGTTTTGAAAAATTGAGACGTGGTTCCTGATAAACCCTGATCAATGGATGGACGCTGACTGCTCGGAGAGCGACAGATGTCTTGATTTCGGCTATCCGGCTTCAGGATGAACACCGCTTCTGAAGGGGTGGCTTGGAAGCGTCCATAGGAGAGAGCCCCCGCAAGATGCATCGAGTGTTCTCCTGTGGCCAGGACGGACTGTGTGAAACTTTTACACTGTGCCACGATGGTTCCAGAAGTGTACAGCACACGCACACGGCATGCACCTTTGATTTTCACTGGTTGTGGTTAAGCCTGGTCAGATAGCTGGCACCGTCGCGAGACTCTCTCGGCATTTGCGAACCGAGAGTTCGTCGTTGGCTTATTGGCTGAGGCATCCGGGTGCCCAACAGCTTCAAACTTGGCTAATGTCACCTTCGGAAGCACGAAAGGTCTGATTTCTGCAATGGCAGGGCCGTAGCTTAGCAGCTGGGCAGTTGCAGAAATCGCAGTGTTTCCCTTTTGAAATTTTATAGGCATCGTGTGATCAGATCCGGCCGTCGGCTGACAAACTCACTATGCGCTTCAAAAGGTGTCTCAGCGTCGGCTTATATTGTGGTCGCGCAGGTGTTGATGGAGACAGTCTCCGGTCATTGCTTCATGGCAGGTCCTTCTGGCTGCTTCTAATTTGGAGGAGGCAGGGAGCATCCGTGCACTTGTCAGGACACCAGCGTCTCAAGCACAGATGACGCTTCACGTGTTCATCCTGTCGTGATCTGGTTTGGGGACAACTCTGAACGGCAAGCGCGCACCAACAGGGCAGGAGCTTTAGGCGTTTGCAGCGGCTCTCGGCTTGTTGAAAACGCGTCTTGCAAATCAAGTATGTGCACGACATAGGTGAAAACGTACAGTCAGTAACAATCCTGGCAGCGGGTGGAGTGCAGTCCAGGCCATCTTCAGCTCGACACATGCGCTGGCGCTTGCTCGGGACGAGGCAGAGGATCTGCGTGTAAAGAAAAATCACTGCAGTGTAAAAAATTCATTTCAAGGAGGCACACATCTTCCACTCCGTGGAAATCATTGACCATTTGCAGGACTTGTCGCTTTTGTTGGATGCTTTCGAGGCTTCAGCCTTGATGCTTTCGAGGAATCTTTTCCAAGCATTGCCGATGGAATGGCGGAGGACTGGAAGTCGCAATATGCTTACCATGGAATTTAAGCACGTCCTTTCACGCAGTCTGTTCACACAGCATCAGCTCCGAATTTGAAGTTATCAGCTCTGGTTCGGGTCATCGCGTGGCGCTGTTGCTCGAATCCTCTCCGATTGGCTTTTGTCCAGGTCCTGGCTGCAGTTGTGGGTTCCTGGCAGAGTTTCGTTGCCTGTCAAGGAGTTATCAGAGAACCAACAAGAGAAATGACGGAGAGAGCCTGGCCCAAGAAGCCTGGCTTGAGAAATAGACCAGTGACTAGAGCGTGCAGAGGGTGGGTGTGCGTGTGTGTGTGTGTGTGTGTGTGTGTCTGTGTGTGTGTGTGAACCTCCCTAGCACATGGGAGCAGAGGGTCACTCCTTCTGTTTTTACATGTGGACGTTTGCAGGGGGCCATTCAGCTTTGCTATCAGGGAATGGCCAACTAAGAGCCTGATAGCAAGGTGCTGCAACGTACCTGCAAGGGGACGGAAACCATATCCCCGATGTGCCAGGGACAGAACCCAATCCCTACTACTTGGCATTTTGAACGTTTTACGCCCTGCCCGGACATCGCACTTCGACCGCGGCAGCGGCAGCCATTCTCTATGTCTGGCTCCGGGGACAGAAACCTATCCCACATTATAATGCCAGGGACAGGACCCATTATCCCTACTACGTGGCATTTGACGACAATAGAGGACAGGAACCTCATCCTCACGACGCGACTTGACGACGACAACGTGCCTCTCTCTCGCCTCTCTCTCTTCCCCTTCCTGCACTCCTATTCTCGGCCGAATCAGTCAGTGTGACTATCGTGGGTCATGAGACTCCTGAGCAGCGGCTTTCCGTCATGGCGCCGTGGTGTTCCTCCGAAAGGGAAACCGGTGATAAACCGGATGTTCAGCCTTCGTTCAGACTGTTCAGATCTCCCGATGCTTCTTATGATTACTTTCTCTCTCTCTGATGCTCGCATGTGAGTCTGACATGAGTGCAGGTGCAGTAACTGGCGTCTAGTGCAGTAACTGGCCGCTAATGCACAGGACTACCTCGCTAGTCTGTCCTCTATTCGACCGCTTCTTTATTCCTCAGGGACTGCAAGGGCATGTGCTTCTGACATGAGTGCAGGTGCAGTAACCGTCGTCTAATGCAAGTGGTTGCAGCTTCCTCCGGGAAGTAATCGGCCTCTTTTTCTCGTCTGTTTCTTTCTGCACTTCTCTCAATACACGCCCCTGACGGGGCTGTGTGTGTGTGAACCTCCCTTGCACATGGGAGCAGAGGGTCACTCCTTCTGTTTTTACATGTGGACATTTGCAGCGGGTCATTCAGCCTTGCTATCAGGGAATGGCCAACGAAGAGCCTGATAGCAAGGTGCTGCAACGTACCTGCAAGGGGACGGAAACCATATCCCCGATGTGCCAGGGACAGAACCCAATCCCTACTACTTGGCATTTTGAACGTTTTACGCCCTGCCCGGACATCGCACTTCGACCGCGGCAGCGGCAGCCATTCTCTATGTCTGGCTCCGGGGACAGAAACCTATCCCACATTATAATGCCAGGGACAGGACCCATTATCCCTAATACGTGGCATTTGACGACAATAGAGGACAGGAACCTCATCCTCACGACGCGACTTGACGACGACAACGTGCCTCTCTCTCGCCTCTCTCTCTTCCCCTTCCTGCACTCCTATTCTCGGCCGAATCAGTCAGTGTGCGTGCACTTGTGTGTGCGTGTGTGATGCTGTGGAGCTAAGAGTTCAAAATGGGCAAGGGGGGAATGCATGCCTGACAGTTATTGCCCAACGAAGACACTGTCAGTGCATGGTGATATTTGGCCTGATCAGCCACACGTACCTGCAGAGACGGCCGCCCGAATGCTACCCCAACGAAGCTGTTGCTATCATAGTGGCCACAAAGATGATGCAGTGCCAGGGCAAGGTGTTGGATGTCAGTGCAGTTCAGATATGACTGAACAAGTGCAAAGAAGAACATGAAAGAGATGAGAAGGAGATGCTAACCTACGTTATGACTTCAGTCATTTTAAGGGTCATTCCAAGTGTGTGTGTTTTTTTTTTTTGTGTGTGTGTGTGTGTGTTTCAATCAGCAGCCGAAAATTCTGCTGCATGCAAGCCACAACGGTTCGGTACCTTTGCCTCCAGCGATTGTGGCGGGGGCCCTTGCCGCACAGCACGCAACAGCAGTGCCATATGTGCAGCAGGAGTTCTGGCGTGGGTTCGATGCTCGATTTAGTGCTAGCATCGTCCGCGATTCGAAGTGCGTACGAACCCAGGTTTGGTTTCCATTCCTTGCTGTTTTCATAATCCTGTTGGCGCGAAGTTTCCACACCAATGTCGCCTTGATCGTTTCTTGGCCTGCGTGTGTCCAACGGCACTTGTTTTATTAAATGCATCGCTTTGTGGCGGTAGGGGGCGCAGGGTAAGGATTCGGCTTGAACGATATTCTGGGTTTTCAAGCCAGTGCGGCCGGGCGGCGGCGCTGCACGGGAGGAAGACCTGGGGCCTGCTTTGGCGTACTCCCCTCTCTTCCAGGCCAGGCAGCTAGCTGCAGGGCTTTGAGAGCTCGTGTCTGCCGCCGCTACAGCTCGTTGTTAGTCGCAGGGCATCCATCCACATCGTTTTCCGGGCATTGGGAAAATCCACGGGTGTCAAGTCCATGTAAGAAGGCGGAAGAGGGCCAGAGCGGCGTGCTAGGTCATCGTTCATCGGTTCATGGGTGCGTCACAGCCTATTCCGACCATAAGACAAACAAACATGTGTTGAGACGCTGGCTCAAAACTCGTGACTAGTCGCGAGTCCTAGTCAGCTGATCCGTGACAGGTCATTGACGGTGACGACGGGTGGCCGCAGGTGCTTCGAAGGAGCTTTACGTGTCAGTTCCAGTCTCTTTAGACAGAGACAACTCTTCCGACAGATGCTGCAGGACATCGTCATCTCCTTTGGAGGCGAGCACTTGGCAGTTCTGTGGTTCTCATGTTGGGCACTTGCCCTGTGTAAGATGTCGTCAAGGAGCGAGAATGACTACACATAACATATATGGGGAATAAAAGCTGAGGCCCTCGGAGCATCTTGCTGAGAACTTCCGTTTATGCATAGTAGTACCCAATATGCCGCCGCCGTCGACCGACAACGCCCACCGACTCAGCACTCACACTCTGTACTCCACTGGCCCCACCACTACCAAGGGCACCATAGCAGTATCGGACAGCACATGGACTGGGCTCTTTTCAGGAGTCCGTTCAGCGATTGCTGCGCTTGCACAGGAGCCGATCCGAATTGAACAGTCGGCCCTGTAGCTGATACACGCTCAGGAGCCACTCCAAACCCTGGCCATGGATTTCTACTCAGCTGCACAAGGCGGCAAGGGAGGCCGTGCATAACTCTGACCGAAGACACTCAAACCCCTGAAGGTTCTGGGCCCTAGAGATCCGGACCTGGACAGGCAAGGCCTTTTGTGAGTAACGCATCATCCGCGTGCTCCTGAAGATGCAGGAGGATACTTGAAACATCCGTGCTGGTGCAGTTTCTGCACTCCAAGGCTTGTGCCAGGGAGGTGATCTGACGTGTGAGGAATGCGGTGGACCTAGAGCTGCTAGGATGAATCCTGCGAGCTCGTGAAGCTGACGGGAGCGCCCGAGGAGGCTGCAGCTGGTATGGCAGACGGCACACTTGAAGCAAATGAAACTGCAGGTGGAGCAGTCAAGAGACGCTGACAAAGATGTCGAGCTTGAGCCTCACAGGCAGGTGACACACATTCGTGGTCTAAGGGGGCTAGTTGCTTTTGCTATTTTGTGTGCTTCGCCTGTGTTTGGGCGGTGTGTACACGCGTCGCACCTGCAAGTGATTTGTTTCTGGGGTTTGCCAAGGACCTCGGTTCGGCTTGTCGACAACACGCCTTGATTCGCTAGTCTAGCTCTATGGGTCGCAAGGAACCTAGCGGAACATGTAAGGTAGAGAGATGTTTGTACCCTTGGCGCAATCTCAAGAAGACACATTGGACTTTGTGTGTGAAGTCCGCCTCGCACTAGGACCGAGGCAGATGGTGGTATGCGCTTGTCAGCCTGACTGGTTAGAGTGCTTTCAAGCTCACGGGAATCTTTGTGCCGGCATCTACATGTGTCTGCTTGATCATGACATGCCTAGTCTGCATCCTGATCTAACGCCGTTGCTGCAGGAACTCTTTGGGCTAAGCTAATTCATACTGTAGCATTGCCAGGAATTCGAGTACAATGACGATTCAAGAGACATAGGTTTGCTGTGGTGCCGCCGTTTTCTTGCAGAGTCTTCAGGTTTCTGTGTCCGTGGGGGCACGGGCAAGCGGGTCTGTTCGAACGATTGAAACCAGAAGCTTGCTGAGATTGTTTAGACTCCATGGAGGCATCCGGACGTTCGCAGCGCACGTGAATCTCGTGATGCTGGTAGAAGGTGTGCTTCGTGCTGTCCGACAGAGTGTCCTTAGATGCGCATGTGCGGGCTGACGGGGCGGTCAGGAGTCCGGATCGAGGCCAGGTATGTCTGAACTCCCGACTGCGAGAACTTACACACGGATGTGCTGATGTTCCTCTTCAGGACGCGAGGAAGCCCTTCCGCGGCCTCTTCCTCGAAGAGTGCAGGCCCCAGACCTTTGCATACACTTCTGAAGTTTGCACCTGGTACCTGGTGAAGAGCCGAACTCTCTGGTGCATCACTCTCAGGCTGAATCAAGACATCCTATTAGACTGCGCGAAGGCAGAAGCTGTGTCTTTTGGAAGGGTCGTTTCAATAACGGTTGTCACGTCCGGCGTGGGATGCCATGATGCCACCTGGCAGGCCACAGACCTCCGAGGCCTCGGCTGCTTCTGCGCGAGCCGAGCGGCCGAGAAAGAAGGCACGTGCGGCCTCGACCCTCGAGAGCTCGAGAGTCCAGAATGTCCAGAGTCCAGACCAGTTTCTGGAGGAGTTCTGCACCACCTCCGCGACGAAGAGGTGAAGATCGCGGGTCTGGCAGGTGGTGCATACTATGCTCGAGGTTTTGGAACTGTCCCACGCTGCTTTATTTGCAGGTCGGAGAGGAGCCGCGGAAGGTATTGGACTCAACAAATCCTGTAATTCGGATTCACATTGTGCTCCGGAGGAGGCAGGAACTGCGACAGTCCACCAGGCCGGTCACCCGGTCACGGCTCATGCGAACGGGCTGCCTTTGTGATTGTGGAGTTTTGTCACAGGCATGATGACCGGCGAAGACGCTCAGAGCAGCGTCGGACAGACACTAGCAGGAGGCGCGGTGAGCGGACCCGAAGCCGCCACCACGGCCGACCGTCTGCAGATCGGGATCCCAGACGCGAGGCGCGGGATCTGACCTGTCTCCGAAAGAAAAGTCCGGCAGTGCTTCTGGCGAGGACCGGCGCAGCGATGTGCGTGGCAGGCACGCTCACGCAGTGCCCGGAGCCAAGCGGGTGCTTGTGCAGCTTGAGACTCAGATTTTTTTGGGGCAAGGCCCAGGCATTCGTCCAGAACGGGTCCAAGGGAGGCAGACGATTGCACACGTGTTTGAAAGCCATGTCTCGCTGCATAAAGCCAGTGCACTCAAACGATGGCCTGCAGGTCTTGTCGCTGCGACGAGGAGGCGAAGGTGAGCTATGGTGAGCTTTGCAGCTCCGTTTCTCAGATGTGTGGGTGGTAGCTCTGGACAGGAGGGCGTGCAAGCGGCACAAACCATACCCGTGACGTGGAAAGGAGCTCCAACTGCGCAAATGTGGTAACCGCTTTTGTCTTAGAAGCCCTTCGCTCCAAGCCTTTAGCCGCAGTTCTGGAGACTTGTTATGTCAGAAGTGAAAGAAGGACACTGAAAAGCTTGAAGTCTGTGGCTTTTCAGGAGGAGATCCTCTGGTGAACAGAACGGGACGAGGCCTGTTGTCAGCCGTGAAGCATGAAGAGATCAACAGCCTCTTCCGTCCAGGTTCCGGGCGCGCAGCAGGCGGGCTCTCATCATCTACCCTCAGCAGAGCTGACGAAAGTCTCCACCAGCAGTTGCTGCAGGTCGCGGCGCCGAGAAAGGGAGAACGGCGCGAAGGCGCAGGACAAGCCCAGCTCGCTTCGGGAGGTCGAGGCCGCCATGGACTCCGGCATGTCAACCCCGAAGATCTGCTTGAAATGTACAGGCCGCGATCCATCCGTCCCCTGGCACCAACGGGCTCAGCAGGAATGCAGGCCTGTTTGCAAGGCTCGCTCCTTCAAGTCAATGCCAGTCAGCAGATTTCTCGGAGAGGTACCTCTAATGATATTGCCGGCATCTGGAAGGACGTGAAGGGAGACCGTGAGTCAGTGGTAGCATGACGTGACTGGGCAGACACGTTCGTAGATCCTCATAGGACCCCCCGACTGAAGAGACCGAGAAGGCCTTGCACGGCAGATGCCGAGCAATGCCGATTTTATCTCACATGCTGAGCGTGCTGATGTACTGTCGGAGGCTTATCCCGTCAAAGCGGCTCCGAAGCCTTCCGCTCGACCTTCCATGCGACCGTCGCTGAACCTGTGAGAAGAGAAGGCTGGAAGAACCACTTCTCACTAGGCGGGTTGACGTATCAACCTCAGATCAAACGAATCACCACACAAATGAAGCTTTGGTCGTTGCTCCTTCCCATCATCTGTATGACTCGTGTCAGGATTCGCTCGTGGAGCCCGTGCATACTCGATGGTTCGGGCCTGGGGTCTCGCCGTGTCGGCATGCGCAGCAAGCTGACGAGAGCCTTGTACCGAAGTCTTCCCTCACATCGTGAGAGCTGCGAGGATTCTTGTGAGCCAAGTCGGGAAGGGGGCTTGTTCCAACCCAGGCGTGAACGACGTGATCAAGGACTGGAGTCGGTGCGATCAGTAGATGTTCCAGCAGCTGCGGCAGCGTGAGCTGTCCGGTTCTGCCGTGCGCGTATCTGGAAGCGAAGAAGATGCCGGCAACACCTGGCAACGGAGGCTGTGCTGCCGTCAAAATAGTGCCAGCCACAAGTAGTACCGAGAAGAGTGATGTGTAGGAAACCAAGACTTCACATGCTCGCAAGTCTCCAGTGCCATTGGCATGCCACGGCTGTTCATGTGGTGGGTGGACTTAGCCACTTGCTGGCTCGGGGGTAAGTGCAAGCCGGTCACTTTTGGCCGGTTGGGCGATGGCCTGAGTGTGACTACATGACTTCATGGGTGGCTGCTGTTTCCAGTATTCGCTTTTCTTAGACCTATGAGGTTGTGTCGTAGTCATGCCTTATGAAGAAGATGGCGAGCAGAGGGCTCAGTGCAGCTGCATAGATAGAATACCGAGGAACTAGTAGTTTTTCTATTTCGCACCTGGTTGCCCTGCTTCTCCAAGTTCTGCTGAGGTCGTGGGACCTCAACTACAGCCAACATGTGGACGGAATGGCTGAGAACAGGCTGTGATGGGATGGTTCCTTCATGCAGAATATTGAAGCGACATTGACATGGAGCTTTCCTCATCACAACAGAAAGAGTGAAGGCCTGGTCACAAGAAGTTCGACGCATATCGACTACCAAAGTGGGTGCAGCGCCAAGGGGCCATCTTGAGGCTTTCGCATCCTATGGACTGGTGAGTGACCTGAGGTAAAGCATCCTTTGTCGCATCCCTTCAGTGGCATTACCATCGGGGTATCGTGCTTAGACATCTGCGGGATTTCGCGAAGTTTCTGGGCGCTCGGAAGCGGCTTCGAACGGTGCGTCAAGCCATATCTGTCCACGCGCCGCGCGGCGTATGACTGACTGACTGACTGAAGCGGCTTTGTGAGCGGTGGCGGTGACACTGAAGCTGAAGAGTCCGGGCTTCGACAAGGTTTTCTTTTGAACTTAATTTGATATCTTGTTTTGCCTCAGCCCGACGCCTACGCCTATGCCTGCCTCAACGGCACGCCAGAGCCTCGGGCAACTTCGTGGGGCAGTGCCAGCAAGAATGCAGCTGCTCCTGCCAACCTGCCTCTCGTGCGCTTTTCAATCACAGAGTTACTTGCTGCATTGAATGTCCATCCCAGCAACTTCAACAGTATCTTGGCACTGTACTCTCCTACTGTTGCCGCCATCATGATCAACATCGCGTTTGCCACCAACTATCATCGTCATCATCATCATCATCATCATCACGATCATCGTCATCATCATCGTCATCGCAATCATCATCATCATCACCATCATCATCCTTGGCACTTATGACAAACGCTGCGATGCGGACGGTGCTGTGCCTCCGCTTCCCTTCACTCGTTGTTTGCAAGCTCAGACAAGTAGGCAAGAGTTTGTGGCTGCTGCCAACAAATCTATGCGAATTTCCATCGCCAGGCTGGATGGATTGACAAATTTCCTTGGCTGGGGGCCGGCCCACATTGACGCTCGGACTTGCAATGCCGTCATCTTGAGCGGTTTTGCTGAACGAGTACACATTGCAACTCGATTCAGGCCTGCATGTATGGAAACATGGAGATGTTGCAGGCTCGAATCTGCGACTTGTTGTTGCTGGGTGACAAATTGACGCTGCAGGCCTGCACCGAGCAGGAACTCAGCGCACAAACATTCAACGGAGAGACGTGCCTCGGTAGAATTTCATCATCTTTCACCCCTTCGCGGACTGCTGATTCTGCTAGGCCTGCATGGTATGCCGTCCGGTACGGAACATCGTGGTGCGGAGCTGACGGGGACTGGGGAAAGCTTGGCAAGATGATCCGGCTTCTGCAGAGGCCACAATGCCTCGTGCTGCCATGTCAGGTGTTTGCAGTGGCTCGTGGAGCATGGTGCGGACACAACAACCCCGGACCTGAATGGCTATACGCCGCAGCAGCTACCCGACGAGTGAATAAACAGCTAGATGTGATGATGGCACTTTTTTCTCGCCATGATCGTTTTGTCAGGTTGATCCATGTCAACAACCGCAACGATGGCCAGGAAATGGAGTGGTTGGAGGCCTTTCGCGCGCTAAAAGCGCAGGGCCTGCCGGCTGCAGAGTTTTCAGCCTGCTCCGAGCATCGAGGCTGCGATCAAGGGCGAGCTCACTGAGAAGAAGAATCAGCAAGCACAGGCACTTCCCCGGTGGACAGTCGCAAGTCGGATCAGCTCATCGTCCGTCTGCAGGAATTCAAACTCAAAAAGTGGCGATTTGAAGGTGGGTGAGGGGTGTCGAGGAGGGCAGATCCCAACAAGCTTGTTCCCGTGGCCAGGTTTGGACTCCTATGCCGAGGATTGGTTGGACAAGAACAAAGCAAAGCAGCGGAAGCACCTGCTGCCCACTTGCACATCAAGATGTTCAGACTCAGTGTGCCCGCTTGGTACCTGCTCTGAGGTACAAAACCGGCGACTTTCCAGATCCGTATCCCTTGCCGACTGCAGAGGCAAGTAGCTACAAATCCTGGTGTTCTGAAGTTATCCAAGTCAGAACTGGATGATCAGCCCTGGGCCGCTGTTGGTGCAGGAGCTTTGGGCAAAAATGGACCTGTGGCTTGCCGGAGATTGTGAGCGGCATCTTTTTCTGAAACTCACCCGTCTCCGTTCAATCCGATTTGCACGGAAGACTTGCAAAGGCCGCGTTCGACGATTCCGCGTCCTCCTGCCAAGAGCAAGCCGCCGCTTCCTGTGGCCATGCTCTTCCCTGGGCAGGCGGCCGCCATATTGACTCGGCACAAAACTTGAGACAGACCCATGCAGGGCTCGCAGTACGTCGGCATGCTAAAGTCCTGCTTGGACATCCCCGCCGTGGAGAAGATGCGTTGTCCCAAGTTGTCGCTGCTGCCGCTGCCGCTCCTGCAGCTGCAGCGAGCGGCTGCTGCTAGTGTGAAAAGCAACATGGTGTTCCTTGTGTTCCTTAGTGCCGGCAAACAGAAACAGCAGGTGCCATAGTCCGAGGCTGGAGAAAGCAGAAAGCATCCTCGGCTGGAGTCTCAAGAAGTTCTGTTTGGAGGGACCGGCGGTGCCTTGGCGCAACATAGCTGTATTGTGTGGCGTTGCAAGAGTGTGCAGCTGGCAGGAACAGATTGAGCAGACTAAATATTGCCAGCCTATCATGCTGCCCCCTCAGAGTAAACTGCTGCTGCTGTTGCTGCTGCTCTGCAACATTTCTTGCCGTAAGGTTTGTTGCTGGTGTTGCTGGGATCGAGCTTATGAAGCAGACGTCACCGGCTTGGAAGCATTCTTCACGAGCTGTTCCATAAGCTGCGGATGTCCTGCGCTGCTCACTGAAGAGTCAGGAAGCGCGAAATGGTGGACCGAGTGCAGGCCAGCCCGTGCGCTTGTCCTTGAGCATCCTTGAGCGGAGATCATGCCCTTTCCAGGCCGTGGCTGGCTTGAGTCTCGGGGAGTACACCGCGCTGTGCCTGCCGCTCACTACAGTGAGCTTTGTGTTGTGCTCGTTCCTCTTTCGTTCTTTCCGAGGCGCTGCCGGCGTGCTGGAGTTCGAAGACGGCCCGTGGCCGTGGCTTGCATGGCGTTTCGAGAGAGACTGGAGAGATGCGAGGTCTGCAGCTGGTGAAGCTGCGAGCGGAGGCCATGCAAAAGGCGACGGAGATGGTGCCGTCTCGGCCTTGACATTCCACGGTATGGTGCCGACAGCCTTGCGCCATGAGGCAAGCCATGTGCTCGGTCGCCGGTCTGGACAGAAACACAGTGGACCGGCTCTGCAGGACTCTCGGAGCGGGCCGCCTTTCGATGAGACCCGCCAAGTTCGCCAAGTCGCCGAGGCAAGGAAGCCAAAGACCTGGACACCAGCTCGCCGACACCGGTGTGCCGGGGACCATCAGCTAGGCAGCTAGTCGTTTCCCGTTTCCCTAAAGCCGCCATAGCTTCTGAGGTCAGGTCGCAAATGTGCTCTTTCCAGCGGGCTTCACTTGCGGCGGCACGAAGCCTGCCATTGAAAAGCTCTGTGAGCTAGCAATGAAGGCAGCAAGACCGGACAGAATCCGCAAGAAGTTTGTGGCAAGCTCCAATAGCAGTGACGTAATTTTGGCGGCTGTGCGCATCCTCCTGCTATTGAGTTGCAGGCACGAGCTCTGCAAGCTCGGGCAGTCAAGGCCAGCAGACACAGGTTTGAAGCTGCTGACGATGGACTCTCTTGCTCTCTGTCTCTGTCTCTGGGTCCTGATGTGTCTGTGGCGTGCCTGAAGCTCTCCTGCCACCTGGTTGTTTCTTCCACAAGCCTCTTGTGTGCCAGACGGGCGGTGGCTTCCACACGCCTCTGATGCAGCCGGCTCAGGAGGACGGCGATCTTTAAGTCTTACTGTCGTACGATCCGCACATCTGAACCACGTGAGCCGCGACCGCCCTGCGAGGAGCTGTCGAAGGCGATCGATTCCATGCTCCCGAAGATGAAGCCTCCGAGGCTTCCCACCAAGCCGGGATGTTTTTGGAAAATGCCGGCAGATCCGGCAGGTGCGCTGTGTATTTCAACCTGACCGGCAAGAAGATGCCAGCAGGCCTAGGGCATAGGGACTGGCCTGAGCAGCATCTGCAGCTCTCCGACTCTAACACGGAAGCGAAAGGAACCAAGCCATCAGAGTTTGTGGACTACATGAAAAAGCCTGGCCCGCAGCAGTTCTAGGGGTAAGTTACGCGGGCGGTGGAACATTTTAGCAGGCTGCAAGAGTTCTAGCCACGGGCATTGCACAAGGATAGTGCATTTTTTCGTTTGCCGAGAATCACTATCTATCGTCGCCAAGGCAGCTCACGGGTGAAGTTCTTTGGGAGCAGACTGTAAAGCAGATGGTTTTCGATGGGGCAGTGGTCTCAGTTGATGACGCGAGAGCCTCTCCGGTTGTTCGGTTGTTCGTTTCTTTCACGTACCCCCACGTTGGTGCCGCAGCATGCACCCCTTCGGAGCTTTCAGCTCTCCAGCCGAGGTGAAAGACTTCTACGAGGTGGGCCCGCTAAAGCAGCTGAAGGCCATGATCAAGAGGACGTCACAGTGCATTGCTGAGTTTCGACCTGGCGCCGTCTGTTGCTAGATCTCTTTTGTTCGTTTGTTGCTCCCCGTCTCTCTGATTCTTCATCCCTCTGCCTTTGTGTCTATTCGTCCGACTTTCTGCATGTTGCCTGCCTGGTTGTCCATCTTGCGTGTACTCTCTCACTCCTGTCCTTCTGCTTGTCGTGGATTTGTGCTTGCTCTTCATTCTGAAGATGCTTCTCGCAATGCATGATGTGTCTTGTGCCGGGACACCTTTCCCGAATTCAGCATGAAGGCAGAGATGCTGCAGTGTATCCTGCAAGCCGGTGCTGCGCAGGATTGACCAGGATGCATTCAAGCGGACCGAGAACATTCCCGTCTGAGCAGATGCCGCCGACTCTCTCTTCCATCTGCAGTACATGGGCCGAGTAAAGCCTAAAGCAAGACTTGGGAGATCACCTGGGCTGACACTTAGCTGCCAGTTACCCCTCAGTCGATCATGCCGCAACACCATTCATGTTGCTTTTCATGAACATAGTTTGTAGGGAACGTTTGCAGATCCGGCGCGGCAGTGCAAAAGGATCGTTTGCACTGCATGCAGCAGCGGGAATATTGGGGTTGTTTCATTGGCCACGATAAATGCTTATAAGAGCAGCACCGCCACAGTATTGCACAGGTATGTAGGCTTGGGTCACTTTGTCTGCCGTAGCAGCTTAGAGGTTTAACAAACATCTTCGCCTACAGCTGCAATAGGCTGTGTCGAAAAGCTCTAAGGTTGGTGGGCCCCCTCCTTTTGTAGAGGAGAAGAGACAACCCACTGCCGAAGAAACACTGCAACGGCACACAATGGCTGGCCCGGGCCGTTGTAAAACCTGGAATTGCAGCAGCATGTAGGTTGGATGTTGCACAACCCAGTGGCGAGTGATGAAGGGTTCATGATCTGTATTCGGCTCCAGGAGTCTTGAGCCTCACAGCTTCCGAATCATCAATCGGAACACGAAGGACAAGATTAAAGACCCGCAGTCTGAGAGATACGCCAACATCTGCAAGAGGTTCGGTGGGATTCCATGGCAAGTCCCGTGGCGCCTGCTTTCCTTGAGGCCTGTCCTGGCGCGCCGGTTCCGAGAACCACCCGTCACTGCGGGCAGCGCTCGGCGCCTGCATCTGCGGCCGGTGGGGGGCCTGGACGCTTTGGCAACCTACCTGTCTGCTCGCTAAGCGAGCACAGACCCTTGCAGACACCTTCGCATCTGATACCTGCCGTGTTGGCCGGTTGCTTCGGCGCGTTGAGAAGGCGTCGGCGAACTGCGTGCAGAAGTTTCCACTGGCCGTGGTCGCTTAGCAAAGAAGCCGATGAAACTGCGAAGCACTGGTGGCATCATCACCCACGAGCTTCAGACATTCTGATTGGGTGGATCCAGCACTCACAGTTGACTCAAGGAAACAGAATCGACTTAGAGGTCGAGTTTTCCACAAGCAGCAGAGGACGGTGGAAATCGAGAGGCCTGGGATTCAAGGGCCCCTTTGAGGCCAGGGTGGACAGGACAGGCGAAGCCGCTTACCTCATCCTCGCAGACAGCTCCACCGTCCTCCGAGGCCGTATGGAGGAGGCGTCCCTGAGCATCCAAGGAATCGTCACCCACGAGAAGGTAGAAGGTGGGAGTTTTGTCCTGCAAGCCCTTCCGGACTGCTATCACGAGTGGTGGTCTCACATAAAGGGCGAGCTTGCTTCCTACCACGGAAACAACCCGGGCATCCTGGTCTTCTCCGAGGATGGCTCCATCGAGACCGGCCAAGACGAATCCACCTCCGAGGAGATTTCAGCTGTTGCCCGTCCAGTTCAGCCCACAGCAGAGTCACGAGCACAGTTTTATGACTGCAAAGCTACCAATACTGTAGCGGGTTTGTTCCAGGTGTTCGGTTCTTGCTCGCAGAAGGCAGCTTTGCTCACAAGCCTGAACGTGCACGGCACATGTATCAAGCGCGTGACAGCAAGCCCGGAATATACATTTTTTGAAGCATCTGCCCCGGTCATTTTTTGCCACAAGATGAACCGGCGTTCCAAGCTTTCGCGATGCCTCTTCCTTAAACTATGGAGAGGCGTCTATCCCTCCAACAAGTGACAAGCTCGCGGAAAGTCATGTGCTACTCAAACTCCGGCAGGTTCACGAATCAGTTCTTGCAGCTGTCTCATGTTGAGGGAACAACTATCGATTTGCCAGCTTAACTTGAACGCTTGATGCCTGCATGCTGTTCCCCTTCAACCAACATGTCGCCTCCATGCAAAGGCCCAGCCCATTGGGTGGGGGGTCTGGGTGGCATGGGAGCTTAACTCGCTCCATATGCCCGGGGGAAGAGAGCGGGCGCCTGCGAAGGGCACGGGGGCTGCTCGTGCCTCAAGCCCCTGGAAGGAAGGAAGGCTTAAATCCCTGCCAAGCGGGCGGGGCGCTACTGGAGGGACGGGGTCCAGAAAAGCCCGGGCAACCTCGCCAGGATTCCACGGATGCGCCAGACATCACCTCCCCGGCCGACTTGCGGAAGTTCCTGCTGAAGCGCTTGACGCAGGTCGGCTCACAAAGGCCAGGGACCCCCGGATTTTTTGATACCCACATGGGATGCTTCCTTGGCCCATTGGCCCCGAGGAGCCCAGGCCAGGACCGGTCCAAAGGGAGCCGGCGAAGGGAACTACTGCAGAGATTCGCCTTCCGCCCTGACGAAGTCAAAGAGTATCTTGCTTCTCGGATCGGAGTTCATAGTGAAGCCAGCCCATTAGCAGCGCTTCCTGAGCAGCTCGGTATACTTGTCAGCTAACGGAGATCATTTTACCGCTGTCTCCCGAGCCTCAGGCACATGCGCAGAGAAGGGCAGACGGTTTTTTCGCGCAAGCCGAGTTTATTTCTTTGACTTCACATCTTGGAAGCAGCTCGGTCTTGGTAGCTTAGGATCGCTACGTCATCTGCCAGACGGCTGCAAAAGAGATGCTCTCGGTCGCGATCTGCGATCACTACAACCGCGCGAAGGCGGGAGAAGTGCACGGCCATCCATCTCTGCGACTGCTGCGACTGTCTCACTTTCAGGAAGAGCTCGCCGTTGATGCCGAGCCGGATGGGACAGAGCCTACCAAGGCGGAGGACCGTTCCAGGGCCTAGGGCCTAGGGTCATGCACTCCGCAATCTTCACAGCGAAGGGCTCTCGGGAACAGCTAGACATCATGGCTGAAGCGCTGAAGTCTTGCTTGATGTGATGCAGTTTCCCTTCATGTGAGACTACGAAGCATTGTTTGGGTTACTCGGCCAGATGCCTTGTGATCGAAGTTGTGAAAAAACTGGTTTTCGTAAGGAGAAGCTGGAGAAAGATCAGCCAGAAGAAAAGCCAGCAGAGACTTCAAAGGCGAGCGAAAGCGTGGCTGAGGCCTGACCTTGATGCTACAAAGGTTTGTATAGACGGACTTGACCCGGAAGCATCCTAATCGCAATGCGTGCATTTTGAAACCAGAGCACACTGCCTTCCGTTCCCTACAAGGCTGAAGCTTCCACTTCAGATGCTGTACATACTGAGGAGTCTTCATCACTCGAGGCCGGTATCTTCCATCTTTCCAAACATGTTTCGCCACCTTTTCAGTAGGACAGAAAGGACGGACATTCACAGACTGTCCGTGGCGGTGTCGTTGTCACGGTTATGCACCATTTAGACGAGAGCCAAATAAGCATCCCCAGGAAACCGTCCAAGAGAAGGCCAAGCAGGTTGATACACCTGGTGAGATGTCGGAGTGTCTCTGCTGCAAAGTCTATGTCCATTTGAGGGTCTTCTCATCCTATCTCAAAATGTCTTGAACTTGGGGTCTCACATGAAGCTCTGTGTGTTGTCGACCTGTGTAAAGAGATTCCTGGTTCAGAGCAACCCCGGATGAGGCAAAGTCCTGCCGGTGCGGAGACAGGCCACCGAAGAGACTGAACACAAATCTTTGCTGCGGATCTCCGTCCATGCGAGGTGCCAAGGTGGACTCCAGCGATGGGCTGGACAAAGTTCAGTTCACCGACACCGATGGAGATGCAGCTTGACAGACCTTCCAGACACAGGGCTTTGCATCTGGCGTCGTCGTGCTTGTGTTGTGATGTCTGCGCCCTTCGACAGGTAATCCTACTCCAGGTTGAGGAGGACCACGTAGCCGAGTATGTGAACCGGGAGCCCGAGCTGGAGCGTGTGGAGCGTTTTGAGATCGATCTGGAGAAGCGGACGTACCGGGACGATTCCGGAGAGGGCCGCTTCAACGAGTCGGAGGATCTTCCGAAGATTCAGACGGAGGTGCAAGCGCTCTTCACCCGGGCGGCCAAGGCCACCCTTTTGAAGCCCAAGCGGGCCGCGGGCTCAAAGAACCCAAGCACGGAGAGGGCCTGCCGCCTGCCCGTCCCCGAATCATCACCTACGTTACATGTAAGGTGAAAAACTACACCAAGCCGAACATCTTGCTTCTGGGTCCCACGGGCAGCGGAAAGACTTACTTGCTTAGAAATCTGGCTGCTTCTCGGCTCGATTCTGCCGAGCTTTCTTTCGTCTCTTTTTCTCAGCTGGGGCTTTCCTGTCCAAGTGTAAATGGCCTAGGACCTCATTGGGGTTCCGTTTGTGAAAGCGGATGCGCGGGCCTGAGAGGGGCGAAAACGGCTAATCTCGGACTCCATATGTGTCGCGGCTTGCTTTGACAAGACGGTGGATGGCGCAGAAGTTTTTCCATTCTAAAGCAGAGCAAGTGCGAGCTTGTTGGAGAGGCGACCAAGTTCACAGAGACCGGATATGTTGGACGTGATGCAGACGAGGTGCCTCCCCCTCCATTTGAGCCCGTAAGCAGCTGCTAAGTGAACCTTTCATTGGTTAATCGGAAGTATCAGCTCTCAGCATCGCCTTGGCTGGGATTGTGCACTAGTCCCAGGAGCTTGTCTTCCCTTCTCTTTTAAGGCTTACGAGCATCGTAGCTTGGGTCTTGACTCCTGCAGGTGATGAGCGAATTGCTGCAAGCTGCAGACGGCGATGTCGAGCTTGCTCAGGCATCCCAAGTAAGTTTCAATTGTGTCATGAGCCCGGCGCCATGTTCACTTCTCAAGAGGTGGGCATTGTTTATGTGGACGAGATCGACAAAGTCTGCTCCGAGGGAGGTGGGCGCACCTCCTCCTTCAGGCCGCCGAGCCACAGCTCGGATGCTCAGATGAAGATGTTGTCGGCAAGGAACTCCGTGTGCTTGAAAAGATGTTAGCAACTGACGTCCTTCAGTTTACTGGTACGGACTTTGGAACTGCAAACCGACGCTCGAACCCCCTGCTCCTGCTCGTAGTTCTGGAAGGCGGGCTACGCAAAGCACGTTCTTGAAGCTCATGGAGGCCGTGCCTGCATTGAGCAGACCTGGATTGTTCGGTGGCAGACTTGTGTAGGACGGAACACCGTTCGGCTCGACCGCCTAAATTTCGGTTCTCCGCTTCCCTTCGGCTCCTGTCGCCTGTCACGGCTTTCAACTGCGGCACAGCTTTGGGCGACTGAGCCGGATCCCACACGCATGTTGGGTTCCTGGGCGGCATAGAGCTGGGGGGCGGCGACGGGGGCTGAACCTCGCCGACTGGGTCAGTCTGCCTCCGACGCCGGCCGCATTCCTGGTGTCAGCGGCCCATCAAGGCGAATCGTCCCATGGTTGGGCTCCCAGACATCGGATTACAATGGGATGTGTCATCGTGCGACATCGGCCTCTGTCCGGGGACGATGGGCTTTCGACCATGCCTGCCAAGCCGCGCAAGGCGGCACCCAAAGTCGGTACCCAGTCGACCGATATGAAGCTCACCCGCAGCCTTGCCGCGGCCGGCGTGCCGGATCATGGAGCCACCAGTCGGTCGAGTTCCCTACCACGCTTTTCCGTCCCAGTCCATTTTTGGCCGCGCCGGTCGGGCGGCCATCCCGGGCTCCGCCCGAGGTCGCACTTCGCCGCCTGAACTCGGAGGGCAGATCGGGTCGTACTGTGGCCTGGACTCTGGTGGCCCTCGCCGGTCATGAGCGCTAGCGCCGACGTTCTGCAGAAAGTCGGGGACACCTGGAGCCGGGCGAGTTCGGACCTTTTTCGCCTAGGTGGACGGATGGCGCGAACCCGGCACCGACCCAGCCGTTTTATGGGGCGTTGTTCCTGGCCGGGAGCTGGTTCGTGCGCTTCGACCAAAAGGAAAAGTTTGTGGCTAACGGCTAACGTGTCGTTAGCGCCGTGGTCATTTGGTAGCACACGCTTGTGAGTGGGAACAAGCACCAGCCGCCCAAAATTCGACCTCAAATCCTTTCTTCCCTGATCATCATTGAATCGACTCTTTTAGCGACCGGCATTCGCCCCAGCCGTGCACTGCTTGAGGGGGCGCAGAAGTGCACCCCGGCATCACCAACCCCGGTTTTGTCGGGCGGTGTGTTTGGCCAGGCTCTGGCGCCCGCGCTTTGACTGAAAGAAACACACTGCGTACCAGTGGCTTTTGTCTATCGCATCGTTAGCGTCGTGCTTGTTTTCGAAGGCAGCAGGCACAAGGCCGCTAGCTGACAGTGTTTGCCGGGTGTCTTTGCACCCGCTCGCGGAGCAGGACACCGAAGTTACAGTGGGTGGTCAAGGGCCACGTTTGGTTCTCGGCGCCATGGGTGGGGACAAGGGCACCAAGATGTCAACAAGGCAGGATGAGCTGAGAAACCTGTCACTTTCGGACAAGATTCATGGACCGGTGTTGGGTGAAGGGTTGCGACGTAGCGGCAGAGCATGAGAAGGTCTTCCCTGACTTTGGGTTTCAGCGAAGTAAGGCAGGATCACGAGCTCGATACATAGTACAAACTAGGGCACCCGGGGTCGATGTGCGCCTCTGCAGGCATGTGCTGTTCGTTTTTTCCGGTGCCTTCAGCCAGCTTGATGAGAAGCTCAAGGAGGCTGCCCGTGTCATTGAGGTTTCTTCAGATGGGTAAACTCTCCAGGAGTTGTTTCAAAACACTTGTAAAATGTCGGCTTCGTCCAACCGAGGCTATGCGCGTCAATGAAATCTATATTGCACGCAATCATGTTTGCACAATTGTGAAACTCAGCGGGAGGCGCCACGGTCGGATGTGCAAAGACTTCCCTCAGTTGCAGGATGGCTGATTTTTAACGGTTAAAGAAGGCCGAGCTCATGCTCTGGTACTCGACGTTGAACAAGTTTGAACGGTTGTCTGGTGGGTGCTAGCTCCGGTATGTGCTGCGACGCTCGACACTCCTGCTTCAACCTTGTACAAACGCATGCCAGCCGACCTTATTGCGAATCCCTTGCTTAAATCCGCTGCAGGATCATATCCGCGACATGAAGGGCTTCGGTTTCACTTCCGGAGCAGCAGAGAAGGCTGAAGATGTCCGGTCGATGCTGCACAAGGCCGAGCTGAAAGCGGCAGAGAGCACAGCGGGGGGGAGATGTTCCGTTGCTGATGTCTTAGTTGTTCGACGAAGAAGCAAACGACATTTGCCAGCCTGCACTTTCGTACCCGTAAGACGAGACACGTTGACCCTTCCAGCCGTGCCGCAGGCTGATACTGAAGCTTGGATGAAAGGAGCTTGTTGCTGCCTCTCGGGAGCTGGCAACTTCGCGTGTGTGTGCGTGTGTGTGTGTGTGCGTGTGTGTGTGTGTGTCCGCCAGCCACGACATGGCGACTTGATAGGTCTCCAAAACCCGCAAGTGCTTAAGACCATGTGTTGCCATTCGTCGGAGCTGGACGCAATGCTATGTGATGATGCGAGCTCCGCAGAATATTCCTTTTGTCCATGCAGCACTTAATGTTTTTGTTGATTCGACGGTGTCATCTACTCCTGCCTGAGACTCTGAGGTTCGCATGGAAGACTGATCACTTCTTGTCATTTCAACGTCGGAATATTTAGAAAACGAGCATGAATGCTGGAAATGAAGGGTGAGTGTTGGCATAGAGCTAAGGAAGAGCTTGTCAAAGCTGGCATGGAAAGGGAATTCGTGGGCCGCTTGCCGGTGCGCGTTGCGCTGCAAGCACTTTCAGATGAGGATCTGTTCCAGGTGTTGACGCCGCTTAGCTGCAGCCAAAGCTTCACTTGTGGTTGCTGGGGTGTTGCAGTCAATCGCGGCACTGCATTCGTGAAAGCCGCACCTCAACGGTACTTGTCCCAGGACAGCAGAGGATGGGGCAACTTGGGGGCAGCGAAGCTTCGTTACCGCTTGCTTTCGCCACATCCTGCGATTGTTCAGCAAGTTTTTCAGCTTATCAGCAATCCAATGAGATCCGGAGAAAGAGTCCTACAGGCAACGTCCCAGCTCACGGACGACTTCCGGCGTTACGGAATTGAGTTGCGAGCTTAGGGTCCTTGGAAGGTGTCCTTTCGACTCCGATGTTCGATTCTTGACCGAGGCTCCGCTTCACGGATGCGGCTTTGCGCACTGTCGCGCAGAAGGCCGCCAAAGAGGGAACAGGCGCGCGAGCTCTTGCCCGAACCCTGGTCATGGAGCTTTGAGGTATTTGGTCCTGTGCGCCTTCCTACTTGTAGAATTGAAAACGAGAGATTTGTCGATGCGTGGACTCAGGTCACCATCCTTGAGAACACATTGTGCCCCGTTGCAGTAAGAAGTCTCAGCTGAATGACACCGGTTTTCGCCGCAACTCGAGGAGAAGGTACAAGTTCTGCTTGCCCGCCCTTGTTCCCCGTGGATGCGAAGTTCTGGAGGCTTTCAAACGGCTTCTGAAGCTTGGGGCTCATAGTTTTACCTTCACATTGAGATGCCTTGGAGTTGGAGGTTGATCCTGATCTCATCGAAAACCCGGAGCAAAGACTGGAGCAGTTGCTGAGCCAATACGCGCTGAATGAAACTTGAAAAAGCCACAGGCTGTCAAAGCTTTGTTTGACTCGGCCACTTGGTGCAACATTTCTAATTTCGCCTGGCCGGAATCATTCCCTTGGCACAGTTTGTTTCAAGCGCCTGTTCGGTTACAGTGTTCCCAACTTCTCCAGTCAGCTATGGCCGTCCGTCTTCTCTTCGCCGCCATCTCTCCTGCCTTGGCCTTGGCGGACCCCTGCGCCGGCTTGTACGGTGCCGAGGCCCTCACCTGTGCGTGGGAGGCTGATGTAGGCACCTGTATCCAGAACGAGTGCCGCGGTTGCGGAGGCGAGCAATGCCAACACTGCCGTCAGGACAGCGAGCGCATTCATCAGTGCTGTGACAAGCATTGGCACTCAACGACGCCGCCAAAAATGTGCGCCGATGCAGAGGTTGAGGAGGATATCAAGACCTGCGTCGAAGAGCAATGCCATTGCTTTGGCGGGGAGCAGTGCGATCTTTGCCATGAGGATGCTGCCCGCATCGCTCAGTGCTGCGCCAAGTACGACGCAGGTGCACAGCCAGAGATCTGCAAGGTGGAGCAGCCTGATGTTGACCCCTGCGCCGGCCTGTATGGCGCCGAGGCCCTCACCTGCGTGTGGGAGGCCGATGCAAGCACTTGCATTGACAAAGAATGCGCTGGGTGCTCCGGAGAGCAATGCCAGCTTTGCCATCAAGAAGCTGCCAAAGTGCACCGCTGCTGCCAAGATCATGAGCATTCCACGACTCCCCCCAAGATGTGTGCAGACGCTTTCGTGGACACATGCATGGCTGAGCAGTGCGACGGATGTGGGGGAGAGCAGTGCCAGCTTTGCCGCGAGGATGCCTCCCACATCGAACGGTGCTGTAGCAAGTATGAGGCAACAGGCGCATCCGGCATCTGCGCGGCCCGTGCAAAGCAAGCCATTGTGCCGTGAGAATTTTGAGGACATAGCGTTGTTGGAATGTTTTGGGCCAGTCGATAGACGTGACCCAACTAATTCACTTGCAAGATGGAATCTTTTCAGCCATCATGAGACATCGTGTTTGGCCGGTTTTGGCTGCCTAGGACGGAGACCGAGTCTCCATTCTTTGATTCCCGCCATTCCCATTGCCATCCGTGGCCCATGGGCAAAAGCCCCAGCCATGATTTCAGGCACATGGGTTCCGGCTTGGGTCAGACAAAGACGCTCTGCTGGCAGGGTCATGTGGGGCCTCGCGTCATGTTCATCCGGCTCACCTCAGCCGTACCAGATGGAAGAAAGCATGAGTTTAGAACTCGAGGCTCAATAGTGTCTCACGTGACAAATGTTAGATTCAGAAACACCTCTGGCAGCATGCGGAAGTCAAGTGTGGGATTGAGGGGTTTTGCCTTAGCTTTAGCTTAGCCTTAGCATTTTACCAAGTTTGGATAGCTGCGCGAGGCTTGGCTGCAGCGTGTTGGGAAGTCTTAAGTTGAATGAGCTGTCTGCCATGAGGCGTAGCGGCAAGCACAGAATCCTCGAGATCTTGACAAACAAGCCAATCCAGATACACCATGATGGCACGGGGTCGACGTCAAAGTCCAAAACTATCAGCCTTATCACTGTTGCCCGTCGCCTGCCCGCTCCTCAGACTGAGAAATAGCATAAAGAGCGAGTCTCGTGCATGAATGCAGGCAGCCTTGACCTGCAACGAAACACTGATAGCGAGGTGCAGCGTTGTTGGGCCGGTGCCTGGTGGCGCGGAGTGTGCAGCCAGATGCGGAGGCTGATCTCAGAATCGGTGCATGCTTTTTGCTTGTGGACGCTGTGCTGCCAAGGAAGCTGCGAAGCGTGTCATTTTGCCGTTTCCTGGCAGGCGAGTCTCGCCTTTGTCGGAGTGCACCCACCGCACAGACACAGTCGAGTTTGGTTGCGGGCGGAAGATGCCGATGAGGTCCCTTTCGAGCCGTTCCACTTTCATTCGCACGGGTGATGGTGGATGTGAAACAATGTGACACCTGTTTCAGGTCGCAGCGCTGCTTGCTCAGGCTGAGGCGAAGAGTGCTGCCAGCCGATCTTGAGACTAGCTTGGACGGGTCGGTGGGAGGCTCTGCGGCGTGAAGCTGCACAGGAGGAGGCCTAGCTTGTCTCAATGACACATCTGCTGGCGAGCTCTGGGATGCAGTGGCTGTTCAGCAGGAGGAAGTGAAGGCTGCTCGCGTTCAGCGAGAGGCGGAAGAGGCGGCAGAGGTAAAGAAAGCGGAAGATGGATTCGGGTCGGAGATTCAGGTGGAGGCTTGGGCCGGCAATTGCTCCTTTTTGCCTCGACTTTGAAGATAAGAAGCCTGAAGCACAACCAGGTTCGTCCAGGCGAGGATCCGATCTTGGCAAAAGCGCGGGCAGAGTTGGCCGCAGCGCGTGCCAATTTAGCAGCTGCGAAGCTGGAGGCAACTGCAACTTCAAGTTCATCTTCCGGAGTCCTGCTCAAGATGATATCGATTGACAGGCTGAAGCAGTTGTTGCCGGCCGTCAGGTCCAGTCCTGAAGTTTCCATGGGGGTTCAAGCATGCACGCATCTTACGGGTCCTTGGTGTGAGCCATCGGATGCAAGATGCTGGCCGAGGTGACAGGCCTGCAAGGCAACGTGTCCTGACGTGTCAGATTTCCTGATGAGTCTCGCGGCTGTGCTTCTGCGCAGATCAGTCTGGCAGTCAACCCAGTGTTCCACCACCGGCCCCAGTTGGAAAGTTGGAGGAGCGCCGGTAAGACAAAGCTCAGCAGCTGGCATCGCTGAATTTGGAGCATCCTTCAGGATGTGAAGCTCAACTTCTCCGGCACGTTGATGACCGAGGACTCGGAAGTTGGCTATAGTCATGCAGCTGCGTACGCGCTGCTCACGCTCCAAGCTTTCTGATCATTCGCACAAAACGTGCCAAGTGCTCGCTACCTAGCAGGACGAGTGGAATGATTTGGCTGAGAAATTTGAGGACACCGGCTGCCACTCCGGCACTTGCAAGCTGTCAGTACCAGTTGAGCTTTCACGGAACGGCCCCAGCCCCCATCTCGTCCCAACGTGCAGCATCACAAAAAGCCCTCACGGCCAGCTGTTTTTCGCGTGCACTCGTGAAGCCCCAAGTCTCGGTAAATGTCCTGGGTCCCAGAAGCAAGCATGGGCTGATCGCAGACCTCACATCCTACAACCCGATCACGCCTGTACATCATGTTCATCCTATCTACTAGACAGCCCCTCCAACTATCTAAGACACAGGGCGCCTCGCAGCACAATCCACGCACAAGACTAACCAAAGATGCAAACCACAAGTCGAAAATCAACAGCACCTAATAATAAATTCCTGCAGTAAATCACGCAAGAAGAATCTAAAGACAGACTGGAACAATCGTAATACGAGGACTGACAAACACAAGGTACACGTTAAAATAATGAAACTTTGGTAACAACATAGAAGGGATAAAATGACAGAGACATTTACATATATGCCAAGGCAAAGTACAACTCGGCATAGTTCCGTTAGCCATCCACACAAGAAGATGGTGACGATGATTACAGACTATCACCAGAAGGACATGTGTTAGAAGATGTACATCAACACAAGTGGTGAGAACAGGAGGCGAAGCATTGTAGTGTAACGCACGTGTGCGTGTAAGAACAAGTTCTGGTGGTCGGCTGCCGAAGCTCCTGCGTCCTTTGCCTCGCCGTTTCTTGTCACGACACAAGCTTTGATACGAAACACCGGTTACATGAGAAGTATGCAGAACATCCAGAATCTATAAGCTTCTGTGAATGAGCAAGCATGTACGTGAACAAGAGGGGAAGCGAGCGAAAGCAATGATGCTATGCGATTGCTAAGAAGAGGAGCCAGGAGGAGCAGAGCGAAATATCGCCAAGACATATCCCACAAGATAGTGCGAATGCTTGTTTTAGCAGTTGGGGCATCTTGGAAGGCTGCCTTTTCTTGTTGAGTATTGAAGCTGCTTTGTGCACCATTCGTGCGGCACATAGTCAGCGAAGCTTGGACATGCTTCACAAGACAGAAAGAAAGAAAGTTGGGGAAAGCATAGCATCATTGAGTCTTGGAATGTCTTTTATGCAATGCGGGGTTTTACTGTACAGCCACTACAAGGGTGCTTCAACATCACATAGTCATCAGTGGCGTGTGTTGCTGTGTTCCTACGGCAGCATTCTCGTTCCTTGTCGTTCTGCCTTTGAGTGAATTCTGGGTCGTGTTCTTTCCTCACCTTGGTATAATGGAATCTGTTCCTTAACTTGCCTTTCATGCTACTGTAGAAAGCAAGTTCCTCAATGGTTTAAGCTTTAAGCTTCGCTCTTCTCTTTAGTAATTTCTAGAAACTCCACACTGTAAACATGGTCTCTTGAAGTAGGTTTATATGTCAGAAGTGTGTTTGACAAACAGCAACCACATAACGTCTCGTTTATGCGTTTACAGGAGGTATAGTCAGGATAAGGACGTTGCTGAGAAATAGTTTGAGTCTTCAAAGCAAAGCGAGACGCTGCAACTGGCAACGTGCCCAACCAGACACTCGCTGAGGTCGACCACGGCATAAGCTTATGTCAGGGAACGGGTGTTTTTCAGCATAATAAAACCCACTCCCCGGCACCGACAGCAGAAAATGACACTCCCCTCGCACCACCGGCAAAAAATCACCCACCTGCACCCCCCCATGAGCACCAACAGCAAATCCAAAGCACCGCCCCTCCGCCCCACACTAAACTAAAAACACCACCGGGCGCCAAGTGCAAAAGAAAAACACGCCCCCCCCCCTTCTGCATCAACAGCAACAAGAAGCAACACCCCCCCCCACTAACAGCAACCACAAGTAACACCCACGCACCAACGGCAAAAAGGCACCAACAGCAAAGCCAAACACCATTATCCTGCAAGTTAGCCCAACATGCCGCGGCAGAAGATCTGGTTAATGACATGACAAAAAGCAATTCCAAAGCAAAGGAGAAATGGATAAAAGCAATTTGAGAAGGCAGTGGGCAAAGCACGAGGACAAAGTACCGATCACAGAAATGTTGAAAGAAACAAGAAGGAAGGCAAGACAAGGCAAAGAAGATGGAAAGTCGTTCACAGGAAAGGCAGTCAGTGCTTTCTCTGGCAAAAGACATCTTCAAACTGCAGGAGGGTTTCGATGCTAAGTTTATGTTTTTTGCTGTGCATTATAGATGGGGTTACGATGCTAAGTTTATGTTGTTTTCTATGCATTATAGATGGCTGGCAAGATGGAGCAATTGGCTGTGTACATTGAACAAAACCTTCCGCGGTAAAGTGGAGCAGCGCGCTCAAGGAGTCCGACATTTTCACCAGGGTTGCCGGTTGTGAGACGTTTGCTAATAGGATCGCTGCCCCCGGACCCCATGCAACTACATGAGCATACCTCGTTGATGAAGCATTAAGGTAACAAGGGTTTGTGGATGCTTTTGGCTTTTCGGAAGCTGCAGCAACGCATCAGGCAAACGAAAGCAGCAAACGACGATACACCAAGCGATTCGAAATTGAATTTCTCGTTTGGGCCCAGGACATGAATCTCATTGAGCAGTTCCAGACAAACTCCAAGCTTGGGTCGCAGGCAGCGCCGTGAACAAGGGACTTTTTTTCGCTCCAGCTAGCTGCCGAGAGGTTTCAGTGACAGCAAGAGATCACAAACCGAACTACTTGTATCAGACAGCACGTCGAGGCTATTTGTCTGCAAGTGAGCGTATGCTTTGGGCTCTTGAGGGTTTGTGTTTTTAGATACTCCTGTCGTATCGCTCGGTCGCTCTCCGTCTGTCTCCCGCCTCGCTTGTTTCGTCTGTGAGTGCCCTGCATGTTGCACCATGTCACGAGTGCAAAGACCGATGGTTGACGGGCTCAAGGCACAGACATGATTGGTCGTGATGTCGTGCTGGATCGCGGGTGTCACATATAAGCCAGACGCAACCTCCATCGATTCGGGTGGCGTGTTGGAACATGTCTCAGCACATCAAGAATCATTGAATTGGTTTGCATGTGCCTTGGAGAGAGCACATGGGCTACCGTTAACGCCATGACGGTGGACAAGTCCATCTTGGTTGCGGATGCAATTCGCGTCGCCCTTACGTGTACGTGTTTGTGATGTGTCATGTACCCACGACCACATGTTCTCAGAGATGCACGTCGGTTCAAGAAACTGCAAGCATTTCTAGAGCAGTCTTTTCAAACCACACATCAAGACACGTAACTTGAGCCCAGGCTTGGCCAGCGGTTTGGCAGACAAATCCATGAAGAGCCCGCCGTCTTACTGCAAAGTTGCCTGGCAAAAGCAAACCCTGGCGGGTCCTCGGGCATGCGTGGTGCCGTTCCCACGATGAGGTGACGAGCTTATATGCTCATTGGACTCACCTGGTGCCCCGGGTTCGGATGCAGGTGCTCATGGCCGCTTGGAGCCATCCGATAAGCAGACTCTTCCTGCAGATACCTTCTCTTCGAAGGGAGTAACGGCTGATGCATGGAAGAAAGTTCAACGCTCGAGAAATGGAAGTGCTCCACGTGCCAACTGAAGGCCGGAGTTTGTGTCTCGAACTACCTCCTGCGCGCTTGCCTAGGCCGGGGGGAAGGAGAAGGGAGGCTGTTTCGGAAGCTAGCTTTCAGTCTCCCTCGGCTGGCGTAGTCTCGTAGCATCCGAGCTCCCTGTGCAAGGAACATGTGCGGTGCCTTGGCTCCGAAAGATCTTCGTAGGAGGGAAGAGTGGCTCAGAGCGGCCGGAGACGGCTCTGGTGTCTGTTGTATCAGGTACTCATGGTTCAGGAGTATCACTGGGATGTGCAAGTCAAGGCCATCAGCTATCGGGTAGTCTGAACATGTTGCAATCTACGGCCAAGACGGAAGATGGCGTTGCTGACCCCCTTTGTGAGGGCATGTTGCTGGGATCCTTCTTTTGGGGCTACCTTGCTGGCAACCTATGTGCTGGCAACTCTGCAGCAGAAGGAGAGGTGCTCGCGCAGACTTCGTGTCGTGTGAGGGTCCTGCGATTAAGGTCCCGTGTCGTCGCGGTACGGTGCCGGGCTGGTCTTGGCGTTTGCTGCGATCTCTTGGAGCTCTCTTGCGATTGCCATTCCGTGCCTCGTCTGCGAGCATGTCTACGGAAAGTTCAGGTCGCTGTGTACACACTATGAAGAGCCGCGTGATCAACGTTCAGGATGGCCTCCGATCTCGGATTCTGGCATGTCTGGCTTCTCCACATTCTGCTGGGATTAGCTGCATCGCCGGTCATGCCGACCACCATGCAACTCATCTCCGCCTACGTGCCCGCACCCCGACCAGACTGGCAAAGGCCAAGGATCATGTCGATTATGGCTAGTGTGAGCAGTTGTACGATGTCCAAGTCGGTGGTCGAGGCATCTGAACGCGGATGCTCGCTAGCTGCTCGGGCATTGGCCTTCCGCTTCGGGCAAATCGTGGCTTCCGTTTTGGCGCCACTGATCTGCTCGCAGGCTGGCCCTCGGGCTTGAAGCATTTCCTGTGGTGCTTCTGTCTGTTTCCGTCTCGATGCATTGGCTTGTGGAAGGCAGGCTGGCGAGCGAGCTTCTGCATCTTTGGCACAGTGAGCTTTCTGCTGCCTCCACAGCAAAATGTGTTTAGAGCAGTGGAACTGGGGGCCGGGCCCTTCAAACGCACTTCTCCTGAAGGTTTTCCATGCTGTGGCTCGGCTTCGCGATGACGAAGAAAGACAGCAGAATTGAAGTCCGAAAGACCTGCCAGGCCAGGGCACCTGAGGACTGCGTTGCTGCGTTTTTCAAAAATGTGTTGCAATTGCGCGCGCGCGCGCGCAGGGCGAGGACGCCTCGGAACAGCCCGTCCAAGGCGCAGTCCTGCTGGTACTTGTATGTCCTCGTGGTTTGGACCTCCTTCA